TACTGCTACTGAAGCGGAAAAACGCTGGATCTATTTAAAAGATTGTTACAGAAAAGCAAGAAATATGTTAAAACGGAAGCAAAGTATTGTACAAAAAAGTGGTGCAGCTGGTATACCAAAGAATTTTCCAATAAAACCATCCTTTCGTCACTACAATGTAATGACGTTCTTAAATGATACATTTGAATATCGACAGTACGTTCAAAAATAGTGATAGTTTAGTTTGATTATAATATTATATATTGTAGTCATAACATCCTAATATTTATTTCAGAACTGTAACGTCCTTGCAACGATCAACATATGAAGAGCAAGCTTCCTCTTCAAACAGCGTTCCATCAACATCGACAAGTGACAACTTTAACGTGGATGATATTGATATTTCTACTCCTATCGCCGACAATAATAATAACACGTCTCCAGTTTCCCCGACATCACCGAAATCAAAAAGTATGAATTGTAGTGTTTATGTCCCTTATGAAAAATACACTCAATAATCTTACGTTGACGGTCCGAAATAACCATCAAATTGAGTGTAAACCTTCATAATCGAGTGTTTCATGAAGGTTTACACTCAATTTGATGGTTATTTCGGACCGTCAACGTATGATTTTTCATAAGGGGTACAACTTACATTGGCGAATAAAAATAATAAATGCATATATTTCTTTGTTGCAGAGAGGAAGAGGATTAATTTAGACGAATACGAAGAAGCTTTTATTAAGTCTTTAACACATAATGCAGAACCAAATCCTATAGATGGATTTGTGACACGTTTGGCAGAAGGTTTGCACAGATTATCTTATAAATCTCGATCAAAGTTGGAAATAGAATTTTTGTCAAGATTATATGAAGCTGAAGAAGAAGATGAGAAATACAAACAGACATAAGGAAATGTGATAAAAGATATATTAAGAAGACTGATCTTTATAATGTAACAATAAGACTGATGCAATATGCATATTGTGTATTTCAATATGTTCATAATATGTGATTTTAGTTTTACTTTTGTTTATAGTGCTTATTTATCAAATATCTATTTGTTTTTGCAGTACTGCAGTTTATAAGATGCATCATTTGAAATTTTTTTTTT